TCTCTGAGTCTTGTTAGTGCGGCGTTCCTGGGTTCTTGTTAGTCGATGCTCTTTAAGTCTTGTTAGGCGACGCTCTCTGATGCTTGTTAGTCGATGCTCTTTGAATATTGTTAGTCGATGCTCTTTGAATATTGTTAGGCGATGCTCTTTGATGCTTGTTAGTCGATGCTCTTTGAATATTGTTAGTCGATGCTCTTTGAATATTGTTAGTCGATGCTCTTTGAATATTGTTAGTCGACGCTCTCTGAGTGAGTGGAAACGCCCCACAATACCAAGGAGTATAAAAATCCTCAGTAGCTGTTAGTAGGGATCTGAATAAAGAAGGCAAGAAATAAAGTGATATAGGTTAGTGAGTAATGGGTTGTATCGTCTTTGGAATACGGGGGGGGGGGCTTTGGAAGGGGGTGTGGGGGGAAGGTGGGTTAAGTTTCGGGTAAGGGTTTTTGGGCAGAAGGAAAAGGGGGTTGTGGTTTGGAAAAAAAAGGGAGGTTTGGGGGTGGGGTGGGTGAGGATTTACATTGCCTTCTTAGCCTCAGGTGTGATGGGTGGGTGGGGGTGACTTGGAGGTGGCTGGTAACGTCTATTTTGGAAGTTGTCTTCTAGCCTAAGGCTTCCAACACTTCTTTTTGCGAGCCAATATGTAGTATAAAAATCTTTTTATCTTAAACAACTTTTTCTGTCGATAGCTCGGATGGCTACGTCAGACTGGGGATCTAAAACTAAATCTAAATCCCATAATACGTTTGGGTTTCTGTGCCATGTTCATAAAGATTACCTGGATTATTTGATCCCCTGACTGATGTCCTCCCCCTAACTCCTCTATGTCTCTATCAGATTAACCCAGAGTCCACGCCCGTCCAAGGTCCAGATACGAACGTCATGATAGCCGGAGGACTCGTGTGCGGGACCGGTCTGGTCTCCGCGGTGGTCCTCCTGGTCGTCTGCTGCATCAAGAGACGAGACAAAGGGAAGCGACTTCGGTACCTCGACCAGAAGGGACAGGATTCCGCACCCAAAATCTTGGATCCCCTCGCCCTGCCGAAACAATCCGACAATGAAAAATCTGGTCTGGACGTAAGTGCTGAATTGTGACTTATTGTTATACACCAGTGGTTCTCAACCTTCCTAATGTCGCGACCCTTTAATACAGTTCCTCATGTTGTGGTGACCCCCAGCCCTCAACCATATATAATTATATTTGTTGCTGCTTCATAAATATATGTTTCCCAATGGTCTTGGGTGATTCCTGTGTAAGGGTCACTCGACCCCCTACCTAAAAAAAAAAATATTAACAAATACCCCCCCCCCCCCATTTTTTTTAAAATTAAAACATAAATTTTCCGTAAAAAAAAAAATGGAGATCATGAACACACATGACACACACGCATTCAACCCCCCCCCTTTTTTTCAACTAACACCCACTCGACCTATCACCCCCCCCCCACACACACACACACACACACACACAACACGCACACACGGTATGGGCCCAATGAATGACTTTGCCCTGGGGGCCTACCAGGCAGTTATGGCGGTAATGTCTGTGAAAGCGTGTAAAACCAAACTTATTGTTCACAGATAATGTCTTGATGACTTCCAGATAAACATACCACACATACACACACTCGCACATACATATACAAAAAACACAGAGTCTTTAAAAAAAAAGAATTTGCCATGTGCACCCTAAGGCAGGCGTAAGAAAAACTTAAATATTGTTTCTAACGGAAATGCAGAGGTTCTCAAGCAGGTTGTTAACAAAGTTGACATTTCTAATGAAACATAAATAATTCAAACATTGTGTTTTATTTCTATCATTTGGATGAAACGTATCATTAAAATATCGATGAAACTTTCGACAAATATTCCAAGCTTCACATTTGGTCAGGCCACTTAAAGAACTGCCCACATTTGGTCTGGCCACTTAAAGAACTGCCCACATTTGGTCTGGCCACTTAAAGAACTGCCCACATTTGGTCTGGCCACTTAAAGAATTGACCACATTTGGTCTGGCCACTTAAAGAACTGCCCACATTTGTTCTGGCCACTTAAAGAACTGACCACATTTGGTCTGGCCACTTAAAGAACTGACCACATTTGGTTAGGCCACTAAAAGAACTGCCCACATTTGCTCTGGCCACTTAAAGAACTGCCCACATTTGGTCTGGCCACTTAAAGAACTGACCACATTTGGTCTGGCCACTTAAAGAACTGCCCACATTTGGTCGGGCCACTTAAAGAACTGACCACAATTGGTCTGGCAAATTAAAGAACTGCCCACATTCGGTCTGGCCTTTTAAAGAACTGCCCTTGATTTGGTCTGGGCACTTAAAGAATGGCCCACATCTGGTCTGGCCAGTTAAAGAACTGCCCACATTTGGTCTGGCCAATTAAAGAACTGCCCACATTTGGTCTGGCCACTTAAAAGAACTGCACACATTCGGTCTGGCCTCTTAAAGAACTGACCACATTTGGTCTGGCCACTTAAAGAATAGCCCACATCTGGTCTGGCCAGTTAAAGAACTGCTCACATTCGGTCTGGCCACTTAAAGAACTGACCACATTTGGTCTGGCCACTTAGACTTAAAGAACTGACCACATTTGGCCTGGCCACTTAAATAACTGCCCACATTCGGTCATGCCTTTAAAAGAACTGCAGACTGATTACGTTATATTCGAATATTTTCCCCGGTCATTTGAAGTTCTGACAACGAAACGCACTCTATGGTTTGCAAGTGTTCCTAAAGTGTTGAGAACCGCTGTCATTAAACCGTTCAATGTAATATTCTATTGTAATAAATGTATATATCTTTTAATATGGAGATTTGTACAAAGAAAATATGGACAGTTTGAAACGAAAACCTAGGACATTTCAACAATAACAACATATAGACAGATCCCATGTTTCAACGTATCTCTCTTTCCTCACTCTTTCTCTCTTTCTCACTCTGAGAAATGATCCCTTCGTCTCAACGTCTCTCTTTCTCTCTCTCTCTTTCTCTCTCTCCCTCTCTCTTTCTCTCTCTCTCTGGGTCTCAGAAATGATCCCTTCGTCTCAACGTCTCTCTCTCTCTCAGAAACGCCCCTTTTGTCTCAACGTATCTCTCTCTCCTCTCTCTCTCTCCCTCCTCCCTCTCCCCCTCTCTCTCTCTCAGAAATGCCCCCTTCGTCTCAACGTATCTCTCTTTCCTCTCTCCTCTCTCTCTCCCTCCCTCTCTCTCTCTCTCTCTCTAAGAAATGCCCCCTTCGTCTCAACGTATCTCTCCTCTCTCCTCTCTCTCTCCCTCCCTCCCTCTCTATCTCTCTCTCTCTCGGAAATGCCCCCTTCGTCTCAACGTCTCACTCCTCTCTCCTCTCTCTCTCTCTCCATTCCTCTCTCTCTCTCTCTCTCTCTCTCTCTCTCTCAGAAATGCCCCCTTCGTCTCAACGTATCTCTCTCTCCTCCCTCCCCCTCTCTCAGAAATGATCCCCTTCATCATTCATCTCAATGTATCTCTCTTTCCTCTTTCAGACGACCGCCGTAGGAGTTAGTGGCACTAAAGAGACGCTAACGATTTACACCAACTACCAGGCCCAGACCATGTCCTACCATTGTCCTAACGAGGTGAGTGGACGAGGGATAAGATAATGTCCTACAGGGATTGTCATTAATGAATCATTACCCCCCTTTTTTCCCTCCCCGCCCCCACCCCGGTCCACACAAACACGGGTCATCCCCCCCCCCC